AGAGACTTGGGAAAAGGGAAAGTGTGATGGGAGGAGGGGAGAGGTCAAAGGTGAGAGAGATGAGTAGCAGAAAGACAGAGGAGGGTGGTGAGAATGTGAAAGGAAGACCCAGAGATGTGGAGGCACGGATCGCTCTCATGTTTCTTGACTCCTGCTGGGGCTCTGTTCTGGTTGGCCCTGCAGCATCAGTACCAATCATGTGCCATGCAGGATGGGGCCTCAGGTACCTCTGAAGTCCTAGAGCTGCAGTGTCCGAAATCTCTTCAGGCAGAGAATCACGAGTGTGGTGCCTGTCTCCCATTAGCTGCGCTGTCCCCTCCTGAGCCATCAGAGCAGCCATTTGTCAGAGCTGCTCTGTCGGGGTTTGAGTGCTCCCTGGCAAGCTCACCCCTTCCCAGCAGGGTTCTGCACACTCCTTAGATAAAGCCAAGAGGCTTAAACCATCTGCTTTCTTCTCTTTCTACATCTGCAAAGTTACCCTGACAAAAGGTGCAGTGGAGGGGGGGGGGGGGGGGGGGGGGGGGAGGAGCACGAGAAAATCTCTCTTTGCTGCCTTCCCTTAGAATTAATGAGCTAAAATATTGGATGAGCGCTGCAGTCAGCCAAGAGGAGCAGCCTGATGGCATCCCTCCATCCAGTGTGAGGCTGCACCGACAAACCCAGGGGAGATCTTCCCAGAGAAATATCCCATGGAGGCAGTTAGCATGGCAGGACCAGCCCCATGACACCAAACCTCATGTCCCCAGAAGGCTTGGTGTCACCAGGGCTGAGTCCGTTGCCATTCCCACTGCTCAGCGCCCAGCCCAGTGATGGCCCCAGGTGGGCTCGGTGCTGGCTGCAGGTGGCCACTGTCCTGGGGCTGGGGCTGGGAGTGTGTCCCGGCTTCCTGCCCTGCACGGGGGTCTTGGCTTCCAGCTCCTGGCTCCGGAGAGCGAGGCTGAGAGGCCATCCTGGCTCTCAGGAGGACCTATGCTTCAACATTTTCCAAACAAATCACTTGGATTATTTCTAACTGACGTTTTTTGGAGGGCTTTTCCTTCTGCCGGAAGGGAACGACTTGATTTATTTATTTCTCAAAAATTCCCGAGGAAGGGAACTTCTGACTTTGGACAACTCCATGGAAAGCTTCGCCCAGCCATAAGCAGCACCTACATCACCATGCGTGCTGATCCGGGGCGACCTCCCCCAGGAGGAGAACAAACTGCATATCCCCAGCCCCAAAGCATCTGAAGGAGCGTGCCTTGCTGGAAGAGCCGGGCTGCTGAACCTCAGCCCCAGCTCTGTACCGGCCTACCTGCCTGTGCTTGGGGTGCCTGTGGTAGGGACAGCCCATGGCCCCGCTGGGGTGGGATGCGGAGGGCTGACACCTGCCAGGTCACCTTTTAGCAGCAAGGATGGGACAGATCTCAGAGGCTGTGAGATTTGGATGGAAAAAAAAAATATATTTTTTCAGCCATTGTATTTCACAAAAGGAGCTGTTCGTCTGCTTAGAATGTAGGTGACAAGTACAAAAGGCATTTGGCGTCATAAAGCAGGCCAAATTTTCAGGAGGTCGAAGATATATGGTATGCAATCGAGTCCCAGCTTCAATCTGCTTCTACACTGTAAATTCCAATTACATCATGCTGCCTTGTTTAAATACCGTGAAACCTGGCTCATGCCCGAAGTATGTTTTATATATTGCCACATCCATCTGAAATAGATGGGCAATGTGTTTTACGACACATGTGCAAATATCTCCGTATTTTTCCATCTGGGGGTTTATGAGATCTTTCAGAAAATTAATAATGGGGCTCGGAGGAAATGTTCGACTCGGAGGCAGTAGCAGAGATTTATGGCCGTCCCAGTGGATGCCAGGGAAAAGTCTGGGAGCGCCCGCAGCAGACAAAGGCCCGCGGTTTCGCCAGGCGCTCCCCGAGAGCTGATTTGGCAGAAGGGACGAGTGCGGGAATTTCCCCATGTGAGCCGGCAGGTTGTTGACGAGGGGTTTCTCTGCAGGCGCTGAGCAAAGATTGGGTGGGGAGGAAGGGATGTGGCCATGCCTGCATGCTTTGGGTGAAGGCAGTGGGGTGGGCAGGGGACTGCACCCAGTTGGGCTCTGTGGACAAGGACCTGGCCCAGAACCCCTGGGCTCTGTGGGGCTGCAGGCTGCCCCGGCTCTCAGCCAGGCACCCCTCTTTCAGTCTCCCCAGAATCAGCCGTGCTCTGGGAGTGCTGCACCTCCCCGGCTCTCGCCATGAACAAAAGCGGATCATTTCCCCTCGCGTGGATCCTCCATGGGGGAAACGCTGGCTGGTGTTTATTTTGTCAGCAGAGAGGTCTGTTCTTTGAGCGTTCTGGGTACTGAGTGTTGTCCAAGACGAAAAAATGAGCCGTTTATTTGAGTCTCACATTGGCTGTGTAAATAGAGGACTCACTACAACAGATGCTGGCTGGCGGATCAGCGGAGTGGGGCCGATCCTGTGCTGTGACTGCCAGCACCGTGGCTGGGACATGGCACACCCCAGGTAAGCAACCCAGCCCTGCACTGTGTGAGCAACGTGTGCCTGAGGATGGACCAGGGCTGAGGCTGCTGCAGGGTTCTGCACAGGAAGGTTGGGAGAGATGCAAGGCTGAGCCCATCACTGAGCCCGTGTCACTGAGCACTGTGTCACCATGCCCATCACTGAGCCATGTCACTGAGCCCACGTCACCAAACAGTGTGTCACTGAGCCTGTAGCACTAAGCCCATGCCACCAAGCCCATGTCACCAAGCTCTGTGTTACTGAGCCCGTGTCACCAAGCACCAGTCTTGCTGCTCAGGTGGGAGCTGTGCTGGCCTGGTCCCACTCCCTGGAGGACACATGTCCCTTTGTGCCACCACAGCTCCCATGGACTGCGGCACACCCACACATTGCAGCTGTGCCATAGGGCCAGTGCTGTTTGGCAACGGGATGGGCACCCCATTTTCAGCACCTCATTGAGGGAACTGCAGAGCTGGGGGCTGCCCACCCGGTGCCATCACCTCAGAGCCCCATCCCTGCACAGCCCTGCCTGGGATTGCCTGTTCACTGAGACCACAGGGATCACAGGGATCATAGGGACCATAGGGACCATAGGGACCCATCTTCTGCTTTGCAGCCGCTCACCATCACTGCTGAGGTGGGAAGCCCCAGCAGGAGGGGCCCGGCGGGCTTCTCCAGATGGTGCCCCGTTGACCTCAGCCGTTCTCCGTCTTCGAGTCTTCCTTAGGAAAACACGGTGTGAGCCAGCCCATCGATTAATGGTTTCCGCATGTTCCCCCCGTGCGGCCGCCGTGGGAAGCTGCCTCCCCAGGCCGGACCTGCTCCCCGCTCCCAGAAGGGGAGTCCCCTTTTGGGGTTTGCTCCCTGTGCCCAGAGTGGGTACACAGCTGCTGGGGACAGTGCATGGGATGCTGAATGCTCTGCCCAAAATACGCCCTGGCAAAGGTGAACAGATAGCTGGGATGAATGAGTGAGTGCACAAACACGTCAGTGACACGGTGATTAAATCTGATGTAAAAAATGCCCTGAACGCTTGTGAGAACCACAGAATCACAGAATCACAGAATGGACGGGGTGGAAGGGACCTCAAGGATCATGAATCTCCAACCCCCTGCCACACGCAAGGCCACCAACCTCCACATTTCACAGCAGCCCAGGCTGCTCAGGGCCCCATCCAACCTGGATTGAACACCTCCAGGGATGGACGGGGCATCCACAGCCTCTCTGGGCAGCTGTTCCAGCACCTCACCGCTCTCTTGGTAAAGAATTTCCCCCTAACATCCAACCTCAATCTTCCCTCCCTCAACTTCAAACCATTTCCCCTTGTCCTGCTATGTGCTTTGGAAAGCAGCACTTGGGAAACAGGAGGCAGGTGAAGTGTTCAGTGCCCTCAGCATGGCTGTGAGCTACGTGCCCCAGTGCTGGGGGAGCCTGGGCATCCCTGTGTGTGCCCACCTGGCTCTCAACAAAGGGCTGGAGCAACGTTGCTCAAAGATGGTGGTGCTCCGAGCACAGCACTGAGCCATGGGAGCAGGGATGGGAATACGCTGTGCGTACATCCGTCTGTCCGGCCATCCGCCTGCCTGTCTGCTCAGATCGGGGTTCAGCTGTCAGCACTCGTGTGATCTCTCACGACTGGAACTGGCTGGAGAATATGGAAAAAAGAGAATCAAATTTTCTTGTAGTATTCTCACATTTTGCTTCTTTCCTTGGCCAAATTCCGGCTTTCCATGACAAAAAATGTCCATCAGTGTTTTAAAATGAGAAAAATTTCAACCAGCTGCAAAATTCAGTCCCAAAGCAGGGGGAAGCTCGCAGACTTGGCCTCTTCCAGAGACAGTTTGCCCCAGCTGACTGCACAACGCCAGGAGAAGCCCCGGAGGTCTGCGCAGGGAAGCAATCCCAAGAAACACGCCTGGCCGCCTCGCTGGTCCCAGTGCAGCACTGCCTCACACCTGGGTGGGAGCTGCTCACTTGTCTGCTTATTACCCCATTTCTTCCCCCAGCACTCTGGCTCTCAAAGCAGCTAAGCCTACTGGAAATGCAATTTGATTGTGCCTTGTCTTAACTGTGGCTGTGTTTAAATATTAGCGTTATGAACAACAATGAAATAATGACTTAAACCATTAATGATCATATAAAAATAGGACCGAAATAAAATAAACAGCAGGTTATATTGTTAGTGTTCTTGTTCTGCTCAGCCACAGCTCTTGGAGTTGAAGTTGGAAGACTCTGCGTGGGGTCTAAGCCTGCTCAAGGAGAGCACAAAACAGGGACATGGCTTCTGTGGCACCCGTGGGACGCCCATGGAAACCCATGGGACACACATGGGATACCAGTGGGACACCCATGGGACACTTGTGGGACACCCATAGAAACCCATGGGACACTCAGAGCTGGGCACAGGAACAGCGTGAAGCCCTTTGGCTTCCCAGCACCCACAGAGAAGACACGGAATTAGGCGGTCAATACTTATTAGACTCGTGTTATTAAAAATAATAATAATAAAATAATAATAAAAAACAAACGTACATATATATGTTACACTGTGGTCCATAGCATCTGCTGGCTTTTCTTTGTACATGTTTGACACGGCTCTCATGGGTGCCCCAGGTGGTACATATATTGCACATCTCAGCAGACCAGAAAGCCCAGCAAAGCCCCCCCGAACCCACATAGGGGTCCCCAAAATGATCCTGCCAGTCTCCTGGGTCTACTCCACCTGGTGATACGCTTCAGTTCTAAAGCAAATGGGAAGAGGTGACAAAAAGGCATGCAGACACGTGGGAGTTACACACACATCTCAGAGCACCCCCGGCAGAACTGCTGGGCCTCCAAATGTGGGTCCCTGCCTGCAGCTGGTGCCCAGCTCTGGTTAATGTGATGGCAGCTGTCTGGTGGTTCTGGGCTGCACGGTGCAGGGCCCCAGCAGGATGAGACACTGCTGGGATCACTCGTCCTGGGGGCTGAAGAGAAGGAAGGATAAATCCCAAACAGCAGCTGCCAACACCAAAGTCCTCCCAGAGCTTTAGAGACGACTTCAGGTGAAGAGGAGACAGGTGCCAAAGGAAAACCTGGAGCTTCCCATCCTGCAGTATGTGTGGAGTGGATTTTGGGGAACATGGGATCTTCACGCCTCCGCCCAAGGCTGTGCATGCTTGGAGGTTGCATGCTCCTACTGCAGTCCTGTCCTAGGCAGCATTCATGCTCTGCTGCTCTTCCACAGCTGTGGCTGAGGAGGAGAGGGCCCGGCAGATCCCAGTGCAATGCTGAGTTCCTCCATGCACAGCTGAGAATGCCTCTGCCCAGCTCCAACATGACAACAGCGGTGTGTCCGGCCAGGGGTTGCTGGGTGCGAGCAGCAGCAGGAGTAAGAGGGCTGGGTGTCTGTGTACTTCAAGGGACATCTTGTGGCAGAGGCTGATGGCCTGTGACAACCAGAACAAGCAGTACTAGGGATGGGAAAGTCCCTTTAACTCATCCAGAGCAGGGAAGGAAGCTGAGTTGGAAGCGTAGCACAGGAGCAACTCATCCAAAACCACATGGGCTCAACTCACGCTTTGCCCCTCTGCTACTCCAGTTCTGCCCGTCCCCTGCAGAGCAAAGTGGCATCCGCAGAGCCAGAAGCACAGCACTGCTGGCCCCAAGTGTCTCTGAAAAGCAACCATTGGTATCTTCAACAGCTTCTCCAAGTGCGTAGATCCTCACTCCCCAAACTCCCCTGACCTGATGCCCCAGGGCTGTGCCATCTCTTCTGCTGCAGACACCCCTGGGATGGGGTGGCCGCTCACCATGTGATGGGCTCAGAAGGCTGAAGCATCCTCCTAGCACTCCAGGAGACTGCAGCACAGGCTGCAACACCTTGCTGAGCCTCGCAGCCCTCCTAAACAGGCAAGGTTTATATGGAAAGGAATATCTATTGTCAGATCAACTATTATTTCCACTCATGTTTATTATGCTGAGACCACTATAACCTCAACATGGAAAGAAACTGATGTCTGTTTGAACTGGAGACTAATACAGTATGAAGAAGAAATAAAAGACTGGAGGTTGGTCAGCAAAAGCTCTTCTCTCTTCCTGCCACCTCTGCCTCTGCACCTCTGGCACGGCCAAGGTCACAGCAGCACGCAGAGCTGGCACAAGAGGAGAATATGGGTATCTGCAGGTCTTTCCTGTTGGGTCACCTGGGCCATGCACCAGGACAGGCAGTCCCCTGCTCCCTGCTGAGCACAGCTCTGTGGGGTGGTGGCCAACAACCCTGGCTGTCCTCAAGATTTCCATGGGTCCTGCCCCTGGGCAGCAGCACCAGTCCGTGTAAAGCTGAGGTCCTGCAGGATCAGGTCTGGAGAAAGGTCACCTGGTTCTCCCAGCGCAGCTCCTGGGGCTGGTCCTGCAGCGCTGGATGCTCTCCACCCAGCCAGTCCGTGTGTGCACGGGGAGGGAGGAAACTGACCTCCTGTCCCTGCTGCACAAGAAGAGGGGCATGAGAGCTGAGAGCAGCGCATGTGAGGGGGAAGCAGGCTCTCAGCACACAGCAGAGAGAGCTGCGAGCTCAGACAGCAGCACTGGGCAGAAGGTTTTGTACAAGGGGAAAGAGAGACTAGGACAGAAGGACGAGGAGCAGCATGCCCGGAGCAAGAAACCAGCCCCTCAAGCTCCTTCTGGCAACAGGCACCCACAGGACCCCCTCTGCTTTGCTCCTCATTCAAGGTTTGTCATTACCACCTTACTTTCAATACACACTGGGAGAAGGAGGCCCACGCACACACACACCCACGCGTGCACACGCACACACAAAGGGGAACCATTGCCAAAATATACACTATAGACAGAAGAGTCCGTTCACACATACGTATGTACAGAGTCTCTGGGCACGGGCTGGGTGTGCAGCCGGGCCGGGACCTGCGTGGGGCACGAGGCCCTCAGGGCTTCACACACTTCCCTTTCTTCTCCCGCCGCTGAAGTTTCCGAAGACGGCGAGTCCAGGCATCCCTCCATTGGATGACCAGGCTGTTCTTGTCGGCCATCAGTCCCGGCCGGTCGGTGGAGTTCTCGCTGATCCCCATCACCAGGTACTTCTTGCTGATCTGGATTTTGGGGCACTTGCAGGACAGGTCCTTGAGATGGATCCACAAGAAGTTGTCTCCACGCTTGACCCGCTCGTCGCGGCACTTGTAGACGGAGAGGATGTTGATGGTGAACTTGGCCCAGTTGGCCACCGTCTCCATTTCCAAAATGTTCACTTGGACCACTGAGGGAAAAGAGGGAGAGGAGGGTGACGGGGATGTTCTGCCAGCTCCTGATGGAACCGCCTTGCCAGGGGATGCAGGGCAGCCTTACCATAATCCTTCTTGCAGTACTTCTTCATGTTAATCTTGTAGTTGCCTTTGGCTGGCTTGCAGTAGGAGTCACAGTCTGCAGAGGAGGAACAGAGGGTTTAGCATGTGGCACAGCACTTTTCCCACGCTATGGGGAAGGTGTCATGATGGGGGCATGTCCAGAGTGGGCTTCCCTGTCCCAGCGTCCTCCAGAAGGCTTAAAGCCAGGCCTGGGATGCTGCTAACAGTGGGATCCCTGAGCCCTGCTTGCCCCCCTATTATCCCAGCAGCCCTTGCAGGCTGACACTGGCCCCACTGCAGCCCCCAAAGCACAGCAGTAAAGCCACAGCAGTGTGGAGGAGAAGCCAAGTGCCCTCGGGCCTCTCAGGCTGACCACATCCCCTCCTGTGATGATGGTGACAATGCCATGAAGGATTATTCAGGACACGGCTGGCAGAGGGAGCCTGGGGACCCTCCTCTGGGAAGCAGGAGTGGGTGGAAGAACCACAGAAGAACATCTGAGTCTAGAGCAAGACAGAGTCTGGATCGTGACTCCTACTTCTGTGGGGCCCCAAGGGGTCTTAGGAACATGGGAAGCTGGCAGGTGAGGTCATTCCCTGATGCCCAAGCATCTCCTGCTGGGACTGACCAAGCACGGCCAGGGAGGTCACCACGCTGAGCTTCCTGCACATGCCCACACATCCCTTCCTATAGCATCCTCCCCTATAGCATCCCTCCTTCCCTACAGCATCCCTCCTTCCATGCAGCATCCCTCCCTCCTTGCAGTATCCCTCCCTGCCATTCCTCCCCATGCTGGGGCAGAGGCTCATGTCCTCAAGGAGGCTTTTCTCTGTGCATTTCTAAAGGCTTCAGATTTGCATCTCAAGCAGAGGGAGGGCAGGCCAGGAATGCCTCTCTCCTTCTCCCCAAAGGCTTTGATCCCAACAATTGCCCGAAGCAGCCCAGTTCTCCTCCTTTCTTTGCCCCTGCCACCTTCTTTTGAACATCTCAATTTGTCTCTTTCCAAATGGCATGTTCTTCTAAGCCCATCTTTCTTCCTTTCTCTCCCTCTCCCAGGTTCTCTTTCCAGTTGGCAGAGCCCTCACCAGTCCCAGGACAGAGGGCAGCCACTGAGCTGCCTTTGTCTGCAGGTTGCCACAGCGATCGCAGGAGATGGAGGGGGATGGTGGGGAAATAACAGCACTCTGTGCCAAGGGGAGGAAGGAGAAAGAGGAAAGAAAGAAGCCCAGAAGCACAAACTCATCCTGAGCTCTGCTGCTCCCCTTTCTGCCCAGCTCCCTTTCAGCGAGGACTTTGTGCCGCCTGTTCCAAATTTGTCATCGACAGAAGTGGCTCAGCACGAAGCTAATTCCTGGCAGAGTGGGGTGAGCTTTTCGGCTCAGCCCCACTGCGCTGCCCCTGGGCTGGGCTGCCATAACCACCCCATTCCCATCCTTATCCCCATGAGGTTCCTCTGTCTCCAGTGCCACAGAGCCACACAGGGACACCACGCAGGGACAGGAGGGACCTTCGAGAGGCAGAAGGGATGGAGGAGCGCTGCCAGGGACCGACCCCCCCATGGGGCTGAGCCTTTCTGGACCAGAGTGGTTTTTAAGTACCACAAGCTGTAGAGTCATCTGCGGAGGCAGAAAATGCGTTTTGTGGATTGGAGTGATTTTCCTCAGAGAAACCAGAATGCTTTCAGGGGAAAAGAAGGGAGGCATCATAAAGGGAAGGAGGAGCAGCAGGAGTGATTAATTGCACTCTTCTTGCAGCTTGACAGGGTGCCCGGCATCCATATCCCCTCCTGGGAGCTGTGCACAGGGACGGAGCCGTTGGTGGCAGTGGGGACAGAGCCCAGGGGCACGGCACGCTGCGGCTGGCAGTGTGCAGCATCTTCAGAGAGGGCCACGCTTTAGGCTCCTGTGAAGCAAAAACCCCGCTGGGGCCGCTTTCAGCTCCTTGCAAATCTGGCCAGATCCAAGCTGCAGTTTCACAAGGACACACAGGACCATATGGGCTCGCGGTCCCCTCCGCTGCTGGAGACGGGGGTTGGGAGCAAAGCCACCGCAGTAGCAGCCAGCGCTGCACAATGCAGGGCCAGGAGGAGAAAGCTGCACGGAAAGCCTCCCGCGTTCAGCCCCGCCACAGCCGGGCCATGGGGCGGCGATGCGCTGTGGGGCGCTGAGCTGTGGGGCAGCCCTGGTCAACCTGCCAGCCCCAGCCCTCTGCCGGCTCTGTGCTTGGGAACAAAGAAAAGGAAGAAAAGAAGAAAGAAAAACAATAACCGCCCTGGGCTCCCGCTCATGATTAACATCATAAAACTGCGATTCTGAAAAGCCAGAGATGGTATTTGGAATTAACAGTTTGGGATTCGTTCGGGGACTTTTAACCTCAGCTTTGCGCTGAGGAACGTTCCTCAAAAATAAAAACAATTCCCGCTCCTTTTATGTAAGAAACTCAGGGGAAAAAAAAAAGTAAATAAATGAAGAAGACTTGTGTCTGCCCATGGGCCTCAATGTGCTGCAGAACTGAGCATGTGATGCCAGGCAGAGTCCCAGCCCCACATCCCCACTGGGGCTACGGGATGCCCAGTGCTGGGGGATGGGAGGAGCACAGGGGGGTGGTGAGTTTGCACATCTGGTTGACTTCTCTGCGCCTCGAAAAAAAAAAAAGAAGGAATATTTTGTTTTAAGAGAGATGTAACTTAATTAGGTGTTACGGCTGCAAATCTTTTACTGCTGACTTTGAATTCCTTTAAAGCCCTCTTTTGCACTCCGCTAGTTTTGTTAATTCCACTAACGGGGAACAAGGTTTTTCTTTTTTTTTTTTTTAACTATTATTATTTTTTTGCAAAGTGGAAAATATTTGGGACTAATAATAATAAAAATTACAAGAAATGAAGGCAGGACGCTTTGCTGTAAAGCTGGCCTGCGTTTGGGCAGGGATCAAAGCCGGACCCCAGCGGCTGTGAGGGGCTGGAGAGCAAAACGTGGGAATGGGATGGCGATGTCAGCGCACAGCCCGGATGCAGACGGGGCTGTGATGTGGTGGTGGGGAAGCACCTGAGCAGCCACAGCCTTGAACAATGTCCCCCTGTTCCTCCAGGCACACCTGCTGTGGGGCGGAGGGGAGGGGGCTCTGGGGCTCCAGGGAGGTGGAAGGGGTGCAGGCAGCAGGAGGGGGGTAGGCGCAAGTGCACAGCCCTGGACAGCCCCTGGCCATGCCCAGTAATCCCAAGAGGGTCCTGAGGGACCCCGGTTCCTGGCACAGGCTGTGGGCAGAGGTGGGCTGTGTTGCACTGAATGTACTGGAACTAGAAGCCAGAAGCCTTCCAACAAGAAAGGCGCAGGTACAGCGACAGGCTGCTGAACACAGACCTGCTCCATCAAAACAAAGTGGATGCCGGGGTCTCCACTGAGTGCCATTTATTTTCATGCACCTGAAAATATCAGATAGGATACTAAGAATGCTCCTATTTAAAAAGCACTGGAGGGAGTCACGCTGATTAACTCTGCCCCACGCGCTCCTCTGTTTACAACAAAATCACTCAATTCCACTCAATTTTCCTTTCACCAAAGCCCCTTCTCTGGCATTCCCAGCTCCTGCTTGGATGCCTCATGGCCAAAAAGCAAAGCAAGCTGGAGAACAGCCTTCACCTCCACTCCCATCACCCTTACATGCCCAAACTAGAGCAAGGAAAGACAAGCACTTGTCCCCAGCCTCTGGCCTGCTGCAGAACCCAAAGGCCCTGAATGCACTCCCTGGTCCCCATGAGAACCACTGCCAGCCCTGGTGCTCCCTGTCTCAGCAGCTCTGCAGGTTTGTTGGTCCCTTTACAGAAACAAAAGATTTCCACTCTTGTTAATTCTTTCACTAAAGGCAACCTTGTGACTGGTGGTTTGGAGAGGTTTGGCATTCCTGATAGGTGTGCTGTGGAGCAGAGGGTGGAGGCAATGTCTCTGGGCAGGGCTGGGGCCGGGTGTGCAGAGCACTTACCTGCAGGTGCCTCCGTGCTGGTGATGAGAGAGGTCGGATTGATGGCAGGGATCTCTGGAAGAGAAAGGGGGAAATGTCTTAAGGAAAGAGGTCGCCAGCCCTGGGCAGCCCCCCTTCCCAGCCCACCATGCACAGCCCTTCCTTTCCAAACAGAGGGGTCTCCCAGCCCTGTCTGCTTTACCAAGAACTTCGGGGTCTGACTGAAGCTGGGGAGGGTTCTGGGGGTGGCACACAGACGAGAGCCCTCTGCAAATGGGGTGCAGACGGGATTTAGTGCATCACCTCTAGGAAGCTCACTCAGAAAGACTGAGTGAGCCTGCCCTGAATAACACAGGCCATTAAGTACTCCTGGCGACACTTCATCTGGGGCAGGACTCACTGATGCAGGGGGCCACGGGCGAGCGGCTCTGCTGGAAGCCCTTGGCGCAGCGGTTGCAGGTGAGGCCGGTCACGCCGTCCTTGCATGGGCACTGCCCTGTTGTTTGGTTGCAGGTCTTGCCAGCAGCTCCGACCGGGTGGCAGTCACAGGCTGCACAAGAAAGGACAGAAAGTCTTTGGTTACGTGGGAGGAAACGCATGGCACAAGCCCACAGATTGTCTGTGGTACTTATGGCCAGTCACCCACTGCCAGTGCCAGGAGACAGCGGGGAGAGCGCATGGGAGAAGGTCCTCTGAGCCTCCTCTCCATAGAGCTGAGCCAACGTGGAGCTGGTACACAACCTGAGCCTTGTTTTGTTCTGGGATGGACTGAAGTGTGTCTTCTAGTGGTGATAGGTCAAGGGGGAATGGTCTTAAACTAAAAGAGGAGAATTAGGTCAGACACTGGGGGGAAGTCCTTTACTTGGAGGAAAGTGAGGTTATGGCACTGCTGCCCAGAGCTGTGCGTGCCCATCCCTGGAGGTTCCATGGATGGGCCCTGGGCAGCTGAGCTGGTGGAGGCAGCCAGCCCATGGCAGGGGTAGAACCAGGGGCTGTGAGGGCCCTTCTAACCCAACCATGCTGGGATTCTGGGATTCTATGATTCTCAATGGTGCCCTGGCTCATAAACCCTAACACCCATCCAATCTCCTGCAAGCCCTTACTGGAGAATGGCCTTCCATCACTGTCTCCCCAGGAGACAAGCCAAACCTGACCTGAGTGGAAATTTAATTTCCAACCCTGGGATGGATCGGAAGCAGATCATCATCACACTGGATATACCCATACTGGATGATGGAGCTAATGATCTGGATGATGGAAGCAGGGATGTGGGAGGAAGAAGACAACGCTTTGTCAGGAGAGGACCCTCCCTCTGCTGGCCCAAGTCTGGGGCTGGCTACAAGCTGGAGGAGGTTATCTTGGCCTCCATCAGTGTAAGAGTTGAACGTGATTCCAAAGCAAAACAAAAACATCTCCCCCCACCCATCCCCACAGCCCCCCGATGTTATCGCTTCCCTAATTTTCACCAGATGGGACTGCTTGCAGCACCACGGCACGGCTCCCCAGGCTTCTCCTGCACGGCGAGAAACAAGAGCAAGCAGCCTCTAATGGGGACCAGATGCTGCACTCCTTATCAGATCCTGGCTGGGGCTGGAAACGGACGTGTTTCTGACAAGGATATTTTGGGGGCTCAGCTGTGATAACAAATGGCAGTGAGCGAGGGAGCCTTGGCATGATGTGGGGAGCAAGGGGCCTTTCTCCAGCCATAGCTTTCCAGGGCGGTTGGGGCCATGAGCACCACCTGCAGCCATTTCCTTGGAGCTGGGGATAAAGGCATGCTGCAGTGTCCCTTCTGTGCGGGGCCGGTGGGCACAGGTACCCTTGAGGAGCTGGCAGGTATGGCTGCTCCTCGAGAGCGGCCAACGCTTTGTCTCTGCCACCAGGAAGGTTTGGATTGCTGCGTGAGGCTGCACACAGAGCCCCAGCAGGGCTGTGGTGCCAGGTGGGCTCGGCCGCGGGCACTGCACACAGGCTGTGTGCACAGCAAGGGACGGTCTGTGCCCTGGGAAATTTATGGCAGAAGGCACGCGTCCAGCCAAGATTTATGCAGGCGCTCAGCTTCACACATTGTGCACGATCTCCCTGGTCTCAGCGGTGTATTCCTGGTGTAAATTTAAGTAGGTCCATAAATCTCAGCTCGGTCAGGATCCAGTTCATCCAGCCGGATCCTCCTTGTGCTGTGAAGACTCGACACCTTACCTGGAGCAGCAGGTGAGCTGGCTTTGCTCACGCCACGTCCTGGAGAAACAGCTCTGTCCCAGCAGGTTGCTGTGTCTCACTGTGCCCCCTCCCCTCCCAGGGCTGACCCCCGTGTGCCCCCACCTCTGTGCCCATTGCCTGCAATGCCTGAGCTCCTGCTGGGTGCTGGGAAGGAGTCCCCAGATCAGGGCTTAACCCATGCAGCTGTGCTTGCCAGGAAGAATGTCTTGCACCTAATATCGAGAGTAGCTGTGCTTCTTGAGGCCTAGCTGCTGCTGCTTCCTCAGTTTTCATTGGAGAAAGCTCGCATTTTACAGTTTTGTTTAAACTGCAGGGATTAATGCACAGCTATTCTTTATTTGACTTTCCAATTACCACTGTTGGATTAATCCTGCACCCTGTCCTGTGTGTTCCACTCTCCTCCACGCCGCAGTGCCCTGCGGTGAGGCTGGTTGCTGGCTGCTGGTGGCCATTGCTGGCTCCCCCCTACTCCATCAGGTGCTGTGGGAGATGCAGGCTGGTGCAATCCACGGGGAGCATCATTGTACCCATCTCTGAATCCCAGCAGAGATGAACCACACTTGGGTTGTTATTTAATAAAACAGTTCGGGTTTGTTTAAATAATTCACATTGTGATAATGCTGGGCTCTGGGCTAGCATTTCAAGTCTTGAATATGAGCTGAGCTTTCTTCCAATGTTTCCCTTTGTTAGGATGCTCTGCTGCTGCCCTGGACCAGCTCTGGAGGAAGATCTTTGCTCAGTGCCTGCAGCTCTCCTTGCTCTGCCGTATGCTCTCCAGACCTGCTCTCATGGGCCTCGCCTTTTATTCTCCTCCTTTTTCCTAGCAGAAATGTAGTTATTCAAAGCAGCAGGTGCATGGCACAGCTTTGGAAAAAACAAGCCCAAACCATCCAATTGCATCTTCATCACCTGGGGCAGGCACACTCTGGAGGGCAAGGATCCACACCGATCTGCTCCTGCACATACATGAGGAAAGGGGAAATGCTCTCTGCTTTGCGAGGGGGGGACGGTCAAAGGAACAGAAGCGTGAAGGATTTTATTATTGACTCGGATGCCTGGGACAGAGCCAGGAGCTGGCTCCGCAGATCCAGGCACTGCTCTGCTGCAAGATCCTCTCCAACATATGCCCCGTAGCAGGGGACAGGCTTTGTGCACATGTTCATCTGGCTGGGCTGAGCCTTTGCAGCATTTCAAAACCGCTCACAACCACTTCCAGCCTTCAGGAAGTGGCACCGTGGCCCTGCACGGCACAGGGACCTGCATGAGGGCTCTTCTGTGCATGGGGAGCCTGCTGCAGCACCCCGCTCCTATGCTGCACTGGGGTCAGTGGCTTCACTTGCTGGGCTGAGTCCTGCAGCCCCAGAGGAACCTGAGCCTCTGCCAGAGTAGGAAACACACTGAACCTCTCCTGCAGCTTAGTGCCTGTGTCCAGAAACTGGATGTGCCCTGAGCATCCTCATGCACACCTGCACCACGTGTCCCCATGGCCGGAGGATGCCCCCGCAGCCCGAGGCACTATGGGATGAGCGGGACATTGCCCCAGAGCTCCTGGCACAGGGCAGCACAATGGGAAGTGCTCACACAAACTGGCACTCAGCTCATGCTCACACCTTGAGGCTGGGCTGTGATGAGCCTTCCCATCTGCAGCATCTAGCAAAATCCTGTTTCTTGGGTTCTTTTTTTTTTTTCATTCTGTTAGCTCTCTTCCCTAGATGGACCAGCGCTGGGTGATGGCAGCGTGAGAGGGAATGCAAGGTGGGGGGACCATGCACGTGTGCCAGATGTGGGGATAGCAGCTGGACTGGGGTCTTCACTGCAGCTCCATTTTAGGCAGCCCCCTGCCTGCCCTCCAGAGGAAATGACTCAGGGCTTTCCCTGAAACCGCAGGCTGATGAGGCTGCTGTCTGCCCGGCTGCTCCTGTGCATGAGGGCTCTTGCCTGGGGCTGGGGGCACCTCTGGGGATGAGGGGGGATCAAGCGCAGCCCCATTGCGGGGAAATCCTCATGGAAAAGGTGGAAAAGGCTGTGGTGCTGCACTGCTCTAGCTGGCTGTGTTGCAGCAGGAGCTGGGGCTGCTGCTGTCCTGCTCTATCCCATCCCATCTCATCTCACAGCTGCTCAGTCATGGCCTCGGTCTGTGCCACGACCTCACTTCTGGCTGTGTCCAGTCCCAGGAGGCTGGAGAGGCTGTGGGGAGGTGCTGCACACTGTAGGGGAAGGGAGCAGCCTCCTTTTCTTCTGCTTCAGCCTCCTTATGCGCAAAGACATGGAATCTTCGGAACAGTGGGCAAGTTGGGAGCCATCCCCAGCAGGGATCCTTGGAGCCTGCCTGGCGCTCCTCAGGATCAAAGCACTACCCATGATGTGGTGTATAGACCCTCAGGATGTGCTCCTCATCCTGCATCCTCCTCTTCCTCTCCCACTGCCACCCCAAGGATGCATGAGCTCTGCCAATGGGAAGCACTGATGTCTTGGGGCTCAGCTTTGGGGCTGCTGTGCCCAAAGCTGGTTCCCCTTTGCTTTGTTCTGCCAAAGCCCCAGAGAGAACAAGGATGGGGAGAAGCCATGATGGTTCATACCGCATGGACAACAAAAGGTTTTTAGTTATGACAACACTGGATGCATTCTGGATCCAAATGAGCCCAACCTACCCATGAAGCTTTCACACCATGGAGCCCTGCAAGCCAAATGCTTCAGTTCTATGGCCACAAAGTTGCTGCACAACGCCAGCATCAGCAGCTGCTGTAGGTCCCATATAAACACACAGAAACCCGGCCAAGTGCTCGTCTGCTTTGAGGGCACCAATGGGATGGGGGGTGGGCAGCACATCCCCAGTGCACATGGAAGCAGCTTTCCCTGCTATCTGTGCAATACCATTGCCAGAGGGGAAGCCGCACTCCCTTCCGGGAGATACTTGCTATCTCAGCTGGAAAAATGGGATCAGGGGTGAGTTCCTGGCCTTGGAGAAACCATGGCAAAGCTCCCGTCCCCACCGGTGGGGTCAGCACAGCAGCAGCAGTCCAGGGGGATGGTCAAGGTGGCTTTTTGTTATCTGGGACCATTGTTTGGAGGCTCTGCAAAGGATGGAGGCTGCATGGAGAGGGCTGGACAAGAGAGATAAGGCAGGGCAGCCCCGGGAGAGGAGAGCCACAGGCTTGGCACGGGCCAGGACTTGTGGGGCCAGGCTGTGCTCCCTGCTTGGAGCAAGAACGGTTCCTAGATGCCTCAGGGCAATGCACCCTGCCCATGGGCAGCACTGCTCAGCACCCCACAGACAGAACTGCACATCAGCAGCACCCATGGCAACACAGCAGGGAGAAGGGAATCACTGCCAGCATTGCCCCCCCGAGGTGAGGAAGCACCACAATCCTTTTGTGATGCAGTGTGAAGACTTCCAAGTGTATTTACTGCCAAGACTATGTTCAGAGCCTAATCCCCAGCAACCTGCCACAGGCATTCTGCAGCACCTGCACAGCTCCACACCTTCCCAAATCCAACACTAACAGCTGTGCCTGCAGTTGTGCAAGGGCCGAGGGCCGTTCCTCGTGGAGCAGAGGGGTCTCCCCCAGCCACCTGCTCCCACGGGTCTCCCTCCCCATCCCTTGGGTCTGGGCGCCCACGGACGTGCTGGGCTCAAGGCCATTCCCCACCATTCCCTCAGGGCAGCAGATCGCTCCCGGCTCACCTTTGCAGGCCTTGCGGTCGGTGATGGACTTGCTGAGGTCCCGGTAGAAGCCCTCCTTGCAGTAGTGGCAGTGCCTCCCAGCCGTGTTGTGTCGGCAGTTGAGGCAAACGCCGCCGCTCTTCCTGCCCGACAGTTTGTACAGCTCCATGTTGAAGCGGCAGCGCCGGGCGTGCAGGTTGCAGTTGCAGGCTGCAGAGGAACAGAGCGTCAGCAGGAGCAGCTCGACGTCACCGTGAGCACCAATTGCTGGGGTCAGACACAGCGCTCCCTGTGCTCCATGGTCCCCACCATGGTGGTCATGCCCTCTCCATCCGCACGAATGTGCAGGCATGGCTTTTACTGCATGGAGTCCTAAAAGCTGAGGCTGGTGGTCTGCTGGGATTCTGCTGCACCAGCACTGCCTGAGCAGGGAAATAGGAGGGGTAAACCCATGCCAGGTGCACAGCATGGACCCCACAGAGGGGCTCCGGATGCAGGGCCAGGAAGGAGGAGAACACGGCTGGTAGTGGTGGTGCAGCCGGCCCCAGTGTGTCATCCAGATGTGCAGCATCTGCCTCCCAAAGGGGCCAGGGCTGGAGGTCAGTGAGAAGGAGAATGGGAACATGTGGGCATGGAGCATGGGGCTGCTCAGCCAAAGGCAGAGCACTGGGGTGCAGTTGGACAGGGGTTGTCCATTCGTGCTGGCCAGGCAGTGCCAGCCAGGCACCTGCAACCTGCTGCCTCACGGAGCGTCAGCCTCAGCGCCAGCAGCACAGCCCCCAAACTGCTCTTAGTTGAGGCTCTGCTCTGCACGCACACACACAGAAGCCCACAGTGACATATGCATGCACAAACAGTGCAGAAGTATGTGTGCACTCTCACATATGCTTACATGTGTGCACGTACAGTCAGGTCACAAGCATATGCACAAGCATGCACGTTCATATCTGCACACTGGTACACATGCTCATATATATGCATGCATACACACAGAGATGCATGCACGTGCCCCCACACATGTGCACACTGATGCAAACACACACACTATTTCTTTCCTTAGCCACAGGAACTGAAAAGACCCCCCCGCCCGATTCCACGTGTGCGAGATAAAAAGGAAAAGCAGTGCCAGTTCCTGTTTAACACTCTCGCAAAAAGATAATGGGAACAAGATTTCCTTTGGCAAAACACAGCGCCCGCCCCCAGCCCCCTCCCTGCGCTGGTAAATTGAGGCTGGGTGAGAGTTTTTCCAGGCGTACTGTGAAATTCATTAACATGTCAGCCCAGATTTAACTGCTGGGCCTGCTTGTCGTTTGTGTGAAGTTTCCCCCGCTCACCCCCCCGGGTCGCCCAGGAGCACATTGGGAGCCTCAGCCTGCGCAGATCAAACGGTCCTGGCATCATGTGGGGAGAGCAGCAGCACACCCTGAACCCAGCCTGCACAACCCCTGAGCCCAGCCTGCCTCCAATTCCCATGCACCCCACCTTGGCTCCCTCACATTACGAGATTGGTGTAAAAATCCCAGGGCAGGCACAGCACCATTGGGCAGTGGGTGCATCCTGGGGTCTGTTCCTTCTGAGCTCACTTTTTACTGGTGCTGGTGGGGGGGAACTATCATGCTTGGCTGGACAGTGGGACATGGTGCCTGAAGGAAGGGCAGCACATTTTGCTGGGTGGTGAGGATGCAGCTGCTTGGCAGGGATGGTGTTGGAAGAGTGGGGATGGTGCTGGCATGGTGGGAATGGTGTGGGGATGATGGGGGTGGTGCTGGTGTGATGGGGATGTTGCCCCAATTGTTACCCATTCAGGAGTTAGGAGATTCAGAAAGCAAGCACCTGATTCTGCACAGAATTAAACAAAGACCTCCATGTGGGTCCCAACTCAGTGTGCTTGTTGACTTTGTGCACCAGGCATGGCCCAACTACCAAATCCCAACTGGGATAACAGTGATGCAGTGGGCACAGCGGGGATGTGGTGCAGCAGGGATGCAGCTGCTCTGCTAGGCTCTGCACAGGGCCAGCACCAGAGCACAGACTGCTGCTCTGCCCCCAGGCTGGGGACAAGCTGGCCAGGGTGGCTGAGTGCTGGCACCTGCAGGGAAATAATTCTGGAGGGCAAAGGGACCCTATTTTTGCCTTGCTCACCCAGCAGGAGAAATCCCGGTCCCCTGCAAGCTCCTGCATCCTCTGGGAAGCAGAAGGGACATGGGGGCAGTGGAGGAGGAAGGAAGGTCAGGTAAATGATTCACCACGGCCATCACAGTTCTCTCTTCGCTCCAGTTTAATTGGTGATGGAGTAACTGGCCCGGCCTTTCTGTGGCATTGAAGCAGGGCCAGGGGCTGGCTCACTGCCCTGCTGCTGTGTGGCACGTCCCCGCCAGCCCCAGGGCCATCAATGCATGGCCACAGCACTGTCCCAGCACTGAGAACTGCTCCGAGGGCACCAGAGTGATACTGGCCATCGCAGGGACCTCAGTGTGAGGATGTGGCCAGGCTTGGCCATGCTGGGATGGGGACAGGGTCACAGTGTGGCACATGAGAGGCTCTGCACTCCTGGGCATGCAGTGCTAATCGGAGCGGACGGTTCCCCTCACACTGTGCTAAATGCTTGTGCTGTTCTCAGAGCCGACTTGGTTGCAAGCTCTGTCTGTCTCCTGTTAATCACTAATTAAAGGCTTGAATGCTCCCTGCTGTTTGGGGTATTAATAAGAATTTAATTGCACAGTTTGGGGCTAATTACGTGGTGGTTTGCTTCTGCCCTTGTACAGTATGCCCAATTAAACAATCATATGATCAATTAAACAATCACAAGATCTAATAATTTGCAATAATAGACTAATTAAACATCAACACCTTGAAATGGGGCTGCCTTCCGTCCCCCTTTTGAAGGCTTTGAACCCCTGCCTGGACTCTGGCTACCCCAATACTTCCTCCCCCCCAGCTCCCCACGGGTCAGCAGCGAGGTGACGGTGGGAGGGGTGCGGGGCTGGGGACCCCCTATGGGGACACGGGACGGGCAGCACCGTGCATGGGGAGCACACGTGCAGCAGATGCCGGTGCCAGCAGGACATGAGGGGGTTCGCCGCCCCCACGAGCTCCCTGGGAGTGATTAGTTAACGGAGCTGGCTCAGCGAAACCCTAGACCGGCTGCCGCTGCCAACCCGCAGCGGATTCGAGCTACGCCCCTGCTTTGGCTGGAGGGGAGCCCAGCCGGGAGGCGAGGCGGGACGGCTGCACCTCAACCCCGGAGAGGAGCGGGGCAGGAGAGACCCTGCGTCCAGCGCCAACACGTGGGCCGTTCCCTGCCTCTGCGGGATGGCGATGGGGACAGGGATGGGGTGGCACAGCCGGGATGGCACTGCCGCACAGCAGCCCAGCTCGCCACCCGGCCGCCAGGAAGCACCTCTGTGAGGATGGCGTGAGGCTGAGCCACCGCAGCCCACCCCAGCAGCAGGGCTCGGGGCTCGCAGCTGAGCTCTAATGCCCTCTGTTGCAGGCAGACCCCTGGCCCCGGCTCGCCCAGCGCTGGGGAGGGAGGATGCTGGCGGGGGGAGGGTGTCTGCTGCCCTGCTCACCGCCTCCCAGAGCCACCTCCTGCCTGGCACCAGTGTAAAGGAGGCCAGGTCAGCTCATTGGGCTTAAAAAGGGGATTTCTGAATGAATTCTGCATCGGGAGCACTGAGATAAAAACAAGAAAACGTACACAAGAAGGGGACAGAGGGGACGAAAGAAGGAGAGGGGGGTCTGCAAAACCCATCAGCACTCCTCCGCGCACCGGCATCCCAGATTGATGCCCTCAGTTCCTGGCTGCTCCTCTGCCCGGTGCGGGGGAAGGCACCGGGAGCACGCAGAGCCCGGATCAAAGCGAGCCCCGAGCGCTATCCGTGGGCTCCGCAGGTTCTGCTCTCGGAGCAGGGTCTCCCCTTTGTGCCGCGGGCAGAAAGGCACTCCAGCCGCGGCGGCGACAATGGGAACAAGAGCTCCAGCATTACCAGCGAGTGGATCAATTACTTCCAGTGGCTGCTTTGCACTAATCCGCTCCCCCCTGCCTTGGGGACAGCCTCCCGACTGGGGCACCGGGCTCTGGGTGGCAGCTCCACGGGAACAGCAGCAGGGATGGAGGGCAGGGCAGGGCAGAACTGCCAGAACAGCACTAATGCGTCCCCCAGGGGGCTGGGGGCACTCCTGACCCTGCCCACACCTCTGTGGGGATTTCCCCTCCCTGAGCCCATCCCAGAGGTTGGGCTGTGCCCGGGGGACACTGGCACTGCTCAGTAGGTGGGCACAGGGCCATGCACCCTGCAGCATGGAGCTGGTCTGCCCTCATGCCAAGCTGGCAGTGTGGCAAAGCCACTGTTGTCAGCCCAGCTGTGACCTCCCCAAACCTGATCTGTGAACAACGCTCAGCTATGCAGAGTGGCAGCGTCTCTGCTCCCTACAGACACCGCAGCACCTCCTCGATGCACACACCTCTGCCTTTCTGCTGAAAGGCACATACCTCTGCTGTTCTCACCTCTGCACTGCTTAGCACCGGTGAGAAGCAGAAATTCTTTGACAAGAGAAAAGCAGAACCCATGGGAAGCCCTAAAAACAGCACCCACCTGCCCAGACCTCCGTCCTCCTCCACACACCACGGGCCAGCTCAGCTGCTGCACAAACTCCCAGGAAAATGGGAATGGATGTACCAGCTTTGTTCTTTGACCCAGAAGCACACTTGGCTGCACCTGTATTCCACCGTGGGGCAGGACTTCCCCTCATCCCCTCATCCCAGAGCCGCTCACACAGCTGGGTGAGCCTGCAGCCATATGGGCAGCACCAGGGAGCATAGGGCAAAAACTGCACCAGCCCCTCGACTCCATCCCCAGCTGCACACATGGGGACGCAGAGCACTCCAGGGCACTCAGACCACCTTCCTCCTCCTCCTCCTCCACCATGAGGCAGCACAGGGCTGGGGCGTGGGATGGAGTCGGAAACCCCACAGCCTGGGCTGAGCAAAGGGAACTTCCCGGGCGGCCTCTCCTTTTAATTGGTGCTAATTGCTGCGTCTGTTCGTGCTGGCTGGGGAGATGTCATTGTTGAAAGGCACAGAGGGGAAGGCTCGGGGAGCTAATCCAGCTTTCAGCCGCTAAGCCCTTCGGAGGCGTGTGATGGAGGAGCTCTTTCAGGTCCCTTCAGAGAAGGCACAAAGCCCGAGAGGGAAAAGGGAGAAAGAAGGGGATCGAATCAACAGGAAAAACCACTTTCACACGCAGCTTGGCTAAGGGCCTTTGTGTGTGGGGTTTGTCAGGGTGTCTTGAAGGGACCGCTCCGTGCCCCCGCCTCCTCCCCACTCTTCTTTTCTCTCCCTCGTTTATCTTTTCAGTCTCATCTGCCAAAAGGGATACCCGGCTGGGGGAGGCCCTTCAGTCTCCTCTTCGGTCACCCGTCCCGCAGGGCAGAGCGAAGGGCACGGCGCAGCACGGGGTGGAGGGGCTGCTGGGTCGGGGTCTTCCTTTTGGTCCACCTCCGAATTTTGCTCCAAAATGTGGTGTTTTGGGGCAAGCAGGGAAACATCAGGGCTAACCCAGTCCCATGGGGTGCAAGGTGCTTTGCAGGATGGCTCAGGCTGTCCCTTTGGACCAGCAAACTTTTTAAGCTTTTTTAGCTTTTTTAGCCTTTTTAACCTTTTTTCTTTTTTTTGTTCCCAGAAGAAATCCTCTCTAACAAACATATATTGAAGCCAGCAGCTGGGATCTCAACAAGCCATCGATCACGAACACTAACAGGTCCCCTGACCTCTGGCACATCCAGCGGGCCATTCGGGGGCTGATTGATGGAGCAGTTTGCTTGTCCCCATCCTGCTGCCCCCTGGGACCGGGTAGGGGTCCAGGAACGGCAGGAGCCCTCTCCCATGGCTTTGTGGGGCTCTGGCATCCCCCACACTGCACTGACAAAAGGCGAAAGCCTCAGGGAAACCCTAAAGAAACAGACATGAGAGCGGGGCAGGCGAGCAACACGATATCGGTATTTCTGAAAAGTTTCCTTCAGGTTACAACACCTTTAGTCTGCATAAAGCTTCATAAGGAGAGACGAGCCAAACCCACAGTACACAGCAGCATGCCAGCCTGACTGAATGATGACATGCTGAAATGGGAAAGTTCGGACATTCCCTTAAACCCTGCTAGGTTTTCAATGCCCGCACCAAACCCAGTGCCCATCTCTGCCTCATCCCAAGGACAAGCAGCTCCAGTGGGCACCACTCCCCTCGTGTGCTGATGTCCCAAAACACACTTCATGCCTTTAGGGGGGGCTCAGTGCTCACGGCCAAGCTCACACAGCTTGCACCCAGGGCTCGGCCCCACGTCCCCTCCCCACGGGCAGCACAGTGGGCACTTACCCAGGCACTCGTTGGCCTCGCGGGCGCTGGCCCGCTGCCACGGCCGGTCGTAGTGGAAGGGCTTGCAGCGGTCGCACTCGGGCCCCTCGGTGTTGTGCTTGCAGTCGCACACCAGCTTCTGCTCCTTGTCCTTGACGCAGCGCGAGGCGTGCCCGTTGCACTTGCAGCGCCCGCCGACCTGCAGCTCGCCCACCGAGTAGTAATAGGGGGTGGGCCCGGCCCCCCCGTCCTCCTCGCCAGCCTCGCGGCCCCCCAGCTCACGGAAGAGGTGGGGACGGCTGAACACCACCCGGATGTCAGTGGCCGTCACCCAGTCCTGCAGCACAGGGCTGCTGTCAAAGTCCTGGGCCGAGGGCCGCCCGTCGAGCGTGCTGAAGGCGATGAGGCCGCCGGTGAGCGGGTAGAGGTCGGTGAGGCCGTCGGTGCACAGTGCCTCCTGCTCGTTCTGCTTGGTGACGGTGGCCTTGCTGGGCTTGCCGTAGATCTTGCGGCACTGTGAGGAGTAGTACTGGTAGGGCACCCACGTCTTGCCATAGTCCATGGACTTGAAGATGGCGGTGGACTCCGGCCGGGGCGAGCAGAACTGGAGGCTGACGTAGACCACCTCGAACTTCTTGCCGAGGGAGAGGGTGAGGGTGACGTTGTGGGGCAGGTGGTGCAGGGTCTCGGAGCGCCAGCACGTCATGTTGGCGGCGGTGTTGAGGTCGGTCAGGTAGGCGGGTGGGTGGGCTCGGCGGGGGTCCGAGGCATCGCAGTGCCGAGTCGGGGGCTTCCCACAGGTGCTGGAAGCCTGCACCTCCTTCCCGAAGGCAGCGTTGACAAACTCGGGGATGCAGCGGCGGGGAGCCCCGCTCTCATCATAGCAGGGGTCCGGGGGTGTCTGCTGAGCCACGAAGGGGTTTGCGGTCTGTGCCAGGCGCAGCACGCTGGTGGTGAGCAGCAGGCGCAGGAGCTGTGGGGCCTCCATCCTCCCTGGGATGAGAGCACAGAGTGAGGGACGGCAGGGCATGGCGCACCCATAGCGTGGCGCAGGGGCACAGGGTGCAGGGATGAGCTCAACACCTGAGCATTGGGCTGCAAATGTCCTCCCATACTGTGCCCTGCCACAGCATCATCTCAGGATGCCCTACCGACAGCATTGGAAGGAGTAAGTCAGAAACAGCCCCTTCCTGCACAAACACCCTGCAGGTTTCAGGCAGGATGAGGACATTCACACCCATGGATATCATCAGGCTTTCATGCACAACCCCGCATGCAGGAGGTGATGCCCCTGAGCTGAAGCTCCCTACATCAAGAGCACGAGGATGGGACTAAGCCCCACAGCAGTGTCACAGCTTGCTGGGGTCAGCACCCAATTCTGCTCTGCCTCTCTGTGAGGTGAACCATCACACATCTCCCTTGTTGCTGACCCTGAGGTGGTTGCAAGCCAGAGGCCAACCTCCCTGCAAACCCCACTGCCACACAGCCACAGCATTCCCAATGCCAGGAGCTCCCTCTGGCCTTGCTCCTCCAGTGGGGTAGAAGCCCCCACCACCCCTGTGCCCCCAGCACAGTGCTGCAGGATGGCTCTGTGCTGCACTCCCAGGAACAAAGTGTTGGTTCTCAGCCCCTGCACTGCTCCCAGCAGAACGCTCCTGCTGCTGTGGACAGCCCTGTTTCTATTGCTCTGTGTTATTTTCCCTTTGCTGTGGAAGGGAGCTCACCCCAGCCAGGCTGCCAAACCACTAATGGGGGAAGCTCCTCCCTGCCCGGCCAGGCCCAGCTCTGCAGCCCCTGAGCCAGCAGCAGGCAGCAGGGAGGGCAACAGCAGCTGGTGTGCAGGGAGTTCCCCACTGCGGACGAGCCCTTCCCTCTGCTCCACCACCACGGATGGGAGAGGAGTGACTGCAGCCAACTTGGTGGCTTGCACTGCCCAGCAGCACATCCTCTGCTACTTGCAGAGCCGCTCGGGGACAGCCCTGTGCGTGGCTCAGTGGCCAGGCACTCAGCAAGCAGCACCAAGAATCTCTTGTGCCAAAAGCACAGTGAGTGGGTGGCACAGATAGAGCAGAGGTGAACATGGGGACAACTCTAGAGAGGAGAGCATTGTCCAAGGCCATGCCCAGCAGCAGGCCTGTGGGCAGCAGGCACGGAGCTGTCACTGCAGAGCAGGAAACGCTGTGCCACTCTGCAAGCACTGCTGCATTAAAGCTGGCAGAGGCTGGAGCTACAGGAGATGTGCCTCACCCCAAACCCTATTCTTCCTGGGCAGACTGTGATGGAAACGAACGGGGATGCAGCCACCCTGACCTTAAACCATCTACCTGCTTCTGTGCACGTGGCATCACTGCTGCTTGCAGGACACCTGCAGTGAGCAGGGGAACATCACCCAGGGAGCGGCAGTGCAGGAGCACGAGGACTTGCACTCAGCAGAGCCCTGCCTATGCTCCACCACCTCCAGCCAGGTTTGCACCATGTGCTTTACCTCTCATAGCAGGAGAGCATCTCTGTGTTCCTGGGCTCCAACAAAACCTTCCCCATCGGGATTTTTTCTGACCTTTCCAAACCATTTTTTTCCTGATCTTCCCCTGCAAACTTAGCAGCTTTGTGCTGGCAGCAAGCTGCTGGGTGCTCCCCAAGAGCTGCACTGCAGCTGAGCCACGTTCCAAGCCCCCTGGTGCAGTTCAGTCTGTTTGCTTGCTCCCTGCACATTCACCCCGTGTCCTGCCAAGGGGATGAGGCTCATGCTGAGCACAGGGGGAGCTGCCCAAGTTGCTCTGGCCATCACTTGCCCCACATGCTGGGCTCTGTTGCCCATGTCTGCCTAGTGCACGCCAGTGAGATGCCCCACACAGAGCCTAGAACAGCCCCATGTTTCCCACGAGCTTCCAGCTCTCCCATTGCTCACATCCCACATGAGCAGGGAACTCCCCTTCCTGCCCCGGGGAGGGAACGGATGGGGCGCAGCCACCACCCCGACCCCCAGCCCTATGCAGCACAAGGGGACAACTCTGGAAGGATGGATAACCAGTGGGATGACCCCCTTGACACAGGCCTTCCTGCCCTACACTGTGCTCTGATGCCCAAACTTTTGGGGCTATGCTGGGGAGCAGCCGTGGGGGAGCCGGGCCCCAGTGCCTGCCGAGTGGCGTGTCGGCACTGCAGAGGCACCGTGTGAATGGAAATCATTATCATCTGCCAGACCACACACATGCACACACGCTCCGTGTGCAGCTCACCCCATTATCCCACTGAAAGGGAGCCGGGGCCGGTGGTCTCCACGGGTCTCACCTCTGCATCGGAGAGGAGGGCAGCTGCAATCTGCTCCCTTTTATGCATATTCAGCGTGACCCCTGGGCTGCCGGCAAGCTGCCAGGGAGGCCCGGCAGTGGGTATTTCTCTCCTAGCTCCACATGCCCCCCCTTCCACTTCCCTCTTTGGTGCCATTGCTTCAAACCTAATGGAGACACTGCCAGCTGAGTGCTGGAGAAGGCATCCAAGGAGCAATGCTGACCCTGCATCAGGATGGATTTGGCCCTCCATGGCCCGAGGGCGAGGGTGAGGTTCCCTCACGCCTTCCAGCCGGGTGAGGACACGATGCCAGCTACAGCAGGAGTGTGGCACAGGGATTGCCAACCCCCCCAAGGCCGCAGCCTCTGTCCCAGCTGCTGCCGTGGCCACGCTCCTCCCCAGTGGCGGTTGCATTTTTGAGGTGGGTGATTTCCTCACTCCTCTGGTTGGGGAATGTTAACAGCCATGCGGTTTGGAAGAAAGTCCCCATGCCTTCACACTCGGAAGTGCTTTGCACTTTAAAAATTAGCTGCTATGCACGGCATCTCCACAACCCTGAGCCCCAGAGCGGTACTGCCAGGGGCACCCATGGTTCTGCAGATATGCTGGGGTGTCACTGGAAAGATGCAGACACTCCATTCTCCCCCTGTAGGCACAGTGCTGCAGATGTGCTGGGTTTGGATGCTGAACACAGCTCCTAGCGCTGGCTGGGTGCTCATTGCCATCAGTGCAAAGACTGGATGCACGAAGGCAGGTGCAGCAGGTGAGCGGCACGGGAAGAACACACTTCCCAGCGCTGACCCCGGTGCCTGCAGCAGGTCCAGGGTCACTGGGGAGCAGAGTGAGGCCGCGGCAGCTTTGCAGAGGTAATTATAGGATTAAGTGGAACAACATGGGGAGGGGAGGGAAGGCGGTTATTAGCCAGATTTGATCCCAGGACCTTTGCGGCGCTGGAGCAGCCTTCTCCAATTAAAGCAGCAGGGAAGCCGCGAGCAGCCTGAGCAATGGCCACACCACGCGCTGCAGCCCGGCCACCGCAGCAGCACTCCAGGGTGCAATGGAGGCCTGAGTCATGCACTGGCAGATGCCATTTAGCACATGGGCCACAGCTGGGTAATGAGCCCACAAAGGGCAGGGGAAGCGCATTAGGCTCACCTAGCCCTATCAAGCCCTGTGCTTGAGTAGAGGGTGTCTGGTCCCCGCTGGGTGTGGGCAGATATGCAGGATGCTGGACCCACAGGGCTCCATGCAGCACGGCGCAGTGAGGGGTGGAAGCATCCAGCAGGGCACAGGGGACCTGAGCAGATGAGGGGCTCCGCCCCACGGCCACATGAGCTGCAGGAAAGACCCATGAGGCATCTGGCCCAGGAGCTGGGAGGCCATGGAGCCCTTCTTTATGTGCCTGCCGAGCCCGTGCCAGCTGGGGGCTTCGGGCCCCCAGCAAGAGGCATGCACCAGGACCAAAATCGGGCTCTGGACATGGATAAATCATTCCATGTGTCGTTAGGACAAAAACACAACAGAGAAATACTTAAAAGGAAAGGAAAAACCCCATGCACTGGGAGCAGGCTTGGCTTTTGGGCAGGAAGGGGCGAGGCAGAGGCGAGCGTGCCACAGTGGGACTGCGAACATCAGGGACAGGCTAAGGCTGTGGGCACTGGAGCAGCCGCCCACCAGGACGAGGCTGTGGCTCCCGTGCAGCACAGTCCTGGCCGAGCTCCCTTTTCCCCCTTCATTTCTGATTCCGGAGGGCTGTCAATGCATACAGACCCACAACCGCTCCCCTATTGCGGAGCTGCTCACTCCTTGCAGCCCCTCAGGCTTCCAGCCCGTGCCCCACACTGTGCACATGGCTCATGTGGGCGATGCGAGGCAGCGCGCTCCCGCAGCAGGCGCTCGGCGATAGCTATTGCAATACTCTCTGGCAGGCTGGAGGCAGCATTACACAAGCCATACGGTACCCCAGCAGTGCCAAGAGACGCATACATATTACCCCGCACGCAGGAAAGGATGGTCCAGATTCTGACCTCAGCCCCTCTGGCATCAGACAGAAGCAGCTCCATTCAGACCAGGCCAAGCAAGACGTAAGCGACTCCATTCAAATTTACACTGGCATACCTGTGGTCAGCATCTGGCCTGGCTTGAATTAGCTTCAGTCTGACGTTACAAAAGGGAGGAACAGTGCCCAGATTTCCTAGGTTATCGAAAACAAAAAAAAGGAGTCCACCCAAACCACCCCGAGGCCGCTCAGACATGTGCACAGAGGTGTCAAAGACGTTTGGATGCATCACCCACTTTGGGAGCTTTCGGTGAGCTGCCCCCAGGGAGGACCTGCTGGGGCTGTGCAGTGCCCCGTTTAGCTCTGGGCAGAGCCTGTCCCCTCGCTGGGGTGAGGCTCATGGCACAGTGGGACTGAGCCCACTTCACTGTGACCCTAAATTCACCGCAGAGCAGGGCGAAACCTTCCCACCAGCACCAGCTGCAGATCACCTGACAGCCCACCGAGCCCCAGCCTTGTGGGAGCAGAGAGCACAGCTGCCTCCATGCTGCCATATTGGTTCATCTCTGCTACCACTCGACTCGCTCTGTCACACATCGGGGACCCTCCCATCACTCCCCACGGGCGCTCGGCCCCATCGCAGAGCCCTCACGACTCCTGCCCTTTCCACTCCAACTGGGAATAAAGCGATCTGGTTTCCATAACGGCCCTTGTTGCCTTTTCACAACATGCCGGGCACAGATGTTGAAAATAGTCTGGATGAATATTTAAAATGGTATTCAGAGATGAGAACATTTGGCCAGCTTTGAAAGATCTCTCACATCGGGTACGGGATGGCTCACGACAACGGGGCCGGAAGCGCGCTGCACTCTGACATCTCGTTCTCTCTCTCTCTGGCTATGGGTACCACGTTTCATGCCCCTGGTGTCACACTGCCTGTTACTGAGTGCCAGCCAAGTCTGCAGCATTTGGAAGAGGCTGTCACGTACGTTTTTAACATCACGGGGCAAAGTGGAATATGGAAAATCTGTCGCATTTCCATACTGAGCCTAAGTGTCCTGCGCAGGCTCAGGGAGGGACTGGTGGGGGCACAGAATAATTGCTTCCTTATGGAGCAGGGCCCAGGTGGGAGGTGGGGGAACAGGAGGCAGAGGTGCGGCTTCTCTGGGGAGGGCAGATGGAGGCAGCCCCATTGGGAACACATGTCCAGGGCCTGCACTGCCACTCGCCTCCTCCTGGGGCCCTTGCCCAGCTCTGCACCTCCCCCACTTGCTGCCCAAGGAAGCCCCTCAGCACGCCATGCTGAAAGCCCTTGGCTGCCAGCACCCCTCCACCTGGGCTCCTTGGCAGCTCGCATTTTGCAAGGCTACTTAGTGGAAGCTGCATCCCCACACACAGATCCTTCTCTCCAGGCTCACTCTGGTTCCTGTCAAAGCCAGCATGGCACCTGCCATCGACACGGACCTGATGCCTTCCTGCTGCACACCGCACCTCACCGGGCGGTGAGGATCCCACGGTACAGCACACCCAGTGCTGGAACAGCAGGACCTTCACCGGGCGGTCAGAAAAGCACAGCAGCTCCCTCTGTTTTATAACGGGAATACTGCAGAAAGGAAAGGTGCCACCATCCATCACAACGCCTCGAAGCGGGTGTCTGCAGCGTGGCTCAGACCCCGTCTCTGCTGCACTGGTGACAGGGAGCTGCGGTCCCTCCTTGCCTTGGGAGTGGGCAGCAGTGGATTCAGTGAGGGAAGAAGGACCTGTGTCACTCCTGGCTATTGAGGAGCTGCACGCCCCAGAGTACCCTCAGCACCACCGTGGGTCCCTCACAGACAGCACCGCCAGAGGTGGGGATGCTCAGCCTAGCTCACATCTCACCTCCTGCCCTCATGCCCTCTGAGCTCACACCAGAGCTGAACACACACACGAGTGCTGTCCGGCAGGACCCGCACTGCTCCATCCGCGGCCTCCCTCACCTCCCTGCTCACAGCGTGCTGAGAGCCGGGCCGCGTGAGAGGCTGCCGAGCACCACATCCCCTGCGCAGCAGCCAGTCCTTATCCCAGCAAAGGTATTTCCATCCACCCACCCACTCTCCAACGGCACGGGAAAGCTGTGGGAGGGACGGCGTTTTGAAAAAATGAGGGTTCAGCAGCAGCTCTGGGACAGAAAGGCAAAAGGAAAACCACCGAACGCAGCCGGGCTTCCCTTCTCCCCGCTCACACACTGCGCTGTGCAGGGGCAGCTCTTCCCCCAACTGCAGTGTAGGGCCGAGACACGGTGGGGCGCGGGGGAGGGGATCCGGGGGTTCTGAGAGCAGCCCGAACGTACCGCAGCTGAGAGCAGCCCGCGGGAGCCTTTCCCGAGGGGAATCCCCTCTACCGTGCAGGATGACGGTCCCCGACCCTGGCAGAGCCGCACCGCCGAGGTGCCAGCGCTCGGTGCCCGCAACAACCGCGCACTGCTCCCGCACAGGGGGTCGGGGCTGCGGTCCCTCCCGGCAGCGCGGGGGCAGCGAGGCCGCGGAGCTTCGCGCAGCGCCGGGCACTCCCTTCCCCCCTCCGCAGGGCCGGGCCGGGACAAAGCGCGGAACGACGGAGCTCCGTGCCGGGGGTTCGGCCGTGCCCGGTGGGGGCACCGCGGGGAAAGTCCCGTTTTTCGGCGAGCCCGGAGAGAAAGGATGAAACGGGAGGGGAGGGGGGGGAAGGGCGGGTGGGGGAGAAAGGGGAGGAATAAAAGGCAGCGAGGGAGGGAGCGGTGGGAAGGGACGCGGGGAGCTGCTTCCCGCGCCGGGAAGTTGGAGGAGCAGCAGCTTACCGCGGCCGGGCAGGTAGCGGGCTCGGTCCGCCGGAGGGTCCGGGGCCGCGGCGGCGAGAGGAGCCGGGGCCGCCACAGCAGCGCGGGCGGCAGTGCGGGGCCGCTCCCCTTCCCTTGGCTGATGGCAACAGGAAAAAAGAAAAAAAAAAAAAAAAAAAAAGGAAAAAAAAAAAGGAGAAAAAGAGAAAGAAAGAAGAAAAAAAGCAATAATAATAATTTTCCAGGAAATAGTAAAAAAAAAAAAAAAAATAGAGCGAAAGCAAAATAAAGCGAAATAGTGCGAAGCGGGAGCGCTGCTCCGGCGCTGCGGGCGGGTCCACAGCGCTGTGCCCGCAGCCGGCAGAGCTCCCGCCCGCTCCACCGCACTGCCCGTGGCTGCTCGGGGGGCGGCGAGGAAGGAGTGAAGGAGAAAAGGAGAGGAAAAGGAAAAAATAATAATTTAGGGAAAAAAAAAAAGATCCACAAAAAAAAAAAAAAATACAAAAGCCAAGAAGCGGAGAACCCGAGTCCCAGCCGCTGCCTGGAAGCGGAGTAAAAAGGCTCCAATAAATCCCGGGTTGAAAAGAAGGGAAAAGTCACCTCCCCGAGGAAATCAGAAGCAGATTTCGAGCCATTTAATCACATGCAGGGAGGTGTGTGTGCGTGTGTGCGCCGCCCGCCGCGCCGCTGCCAGCCCTGCCTCCGCCCTCCCGCCGCCGCGGCCGCCCCGCCGGGAGCGCAGCGGGCCGGGAAGGGGCCGGCCGGGGGCTGGGAGCGGAACGCAGCGCGCCGGGAGGAGAAGGGAAGGAGGGGAAGAGAAGCAAAGGGCCGCCCCGCCGGGAGAGCCGTCCCCGTCGGGGCTCCCACCTGCCGCCCGGCCGCGCTGCCCCCCTTCCGCCCCCCCCCACGCCGGAGTCCCGGGTCGCTCGCCGCTCTCCCCCCGCCGGCAGCGCGCTTTGCCCGACGTGCGCCCATCAGCGGGGTGCGCTCTGAGGAAAGTGGCCCGTAATCCTCCCCCGCTTCCCAGAGCAGAAGCAACGAGGGATTTACCAGGCGAGGAGCAGCCTCCCGTTCCTTACAGGATCGGCTCCGTCCCGTGATGCGTGGGCTCTTCACGTGTTGCCGCACCGGCGCTCGGCCCGTGGTGGTTGGGCAGGAGGGAGGAGGGACGTGGGCATCTCCGCTGGCACAGGCTGCCCAGCACGGCGGCCCGGGGCCCCCCAGCAGCTGCCTGCCCCCAGCCATCCCGGGCCACCTGCGTTCCAGCTGACTCCAGGAGTGCCGGCTGCGTGTGTGGGGGGGTGAAACTAATTTAATCAGCATTTGTGTGAGGCGGTGGAGGGGAGCAGAAAACCTGGATCTGGATCCCCCTGCTCCCTGAGCCCACCGAGGCTGAGCTCACGGCAGCGTGGTCCCCAGGCTCACCCCCCCCGTCCCACCCGCGGATGCCGCTGCAACGAACACGAAGACCGAGGAGGGCACTGTGGAAGGGCACGGTGCTTGCACGGCGCTGGAGCTGCCCACCCGCTGCACCACCTGCACCAGGCCCCAGCCCGCATCACCCGCTCCCGGAGGAGCCGGTTAGCCACATCCTGTTGCTTCGGGGAAGCAGGTTGCAGGGGAGGGGTCTCACCCGCCGGGCTGGCAGATGCTGGAGGAGGAGACCCCAGCTGGCCGCAAGGCCCAGGGGAAAGGCTGTTTGCAGCTCGCAGCCTTGTAGCACAAAATGTATTTCCCAAGCAGAGGGAACAGGGATAAACAAGGGCAAAGCCACCAAGTGACAGCAAAGGGAAGTAGGAGATGGACAGGGGAAGCTTGGGACCCCTGAAGTCGGGTGCAGTAGGTGTGTTGTGTTGTCTCTCTTTGGGATTTGGACAGCCAGGAGGCTGCAAGCTGCAAAGCCCCAGCAGTGCAATGCAGATACTGAAGGGGCAGGCAAACACAGGGCCAGTGTGTGTGAGCCAGATGTGAGCATGGTGCAGAAGGAGGATGTCAAGGAAGTGCAGGACTTTGTGCAAGGGCCTGGAAGCAGAGTGGGATAACTGAAGAGAAGGGGGCAGAAGGGAGTACAGCTCCAAGACACAAAGCTGGAGCTATCCCAGCAACAGATCTGAAGGTGTTTTCCCCACCAGAAAACACAAGGGCTATCATAAACGTGAGCCGTGATGCTGAGCCAGCTTGGCCTGGCTGATGCAGTGTGGTGCAAGGCTGGGTAACCTCCCAAAATCTCTGTTTTCACAATCAGTGGAAAGCATTGACTCCCTTGTCCTGGGACCCACAGGTGACATGAGAGAGGTTGGCCTCTGTGTGCTGGTGTGCACAGACCTCACATCAGCAAAAGCCCAGACAAAAGAGTCAGAATCTGGTTTCCCATTTCTACTGCTTCCTGCACATTCCCTCTTTCCAGGAGTAGACAGGGGCTCAAGAGAAAAAAGTGAATCTGCGTTTGGCAAACTGGGTGCTGAGGAAGGCAGCAGGGACTGAACATTTGCCGCAGTGGGAGCTGGACTGCTGAGACCCTGCTGGGTGCCAGCGTTTGTCTGTCCTTTGGCACAGGGATACCCAGCAGCCCAGTGATGCTCAGCCATCACACAGACCCCCGGGCTGTGAGAAGGAGGGCTGGGAGGATAAATGGGTGCATGCAGTGCACTGTTCTTGTCACCCTGCTGCCCACGGGGAGCTCTGCCCATCACACCCACTGCTCCCTGTGTGCCCACCCGCTCCTCTCCTTGTGCCAGCCTGGTGGAACGTGAAGGAGATGGAGATGGTTGGTGCCAGGCAGGCTCCTCACTTAGCGATGGGGGACACGGACACGGCTGTCGGAGCAACGCCTGCTCGAGACGGGCGTCCCGCACCCTCCGCAGGTAGCCCAGGGCCGGGCACTCGGTGTCCCCCCAGCTGCCAGCTCCCTGCCCGGGCCCCGCCGGCAGCGCTGAGGCCGCGGTCCCGCACCGAGAGCCGTTCCGGGGGTTCCAGGCGCTGCGCAGCGCTCGCTCGCCCTCTGCTGGTCCCGCATCCCCCGAGCAGCGCTGCGGGGCGGAGGAGGGAGAAGACGCTGGGGAAACGCTCCGTGCGGGACGGGCTCAGGTCCCCGCGCGGTCCTGCCGCCCCTTTCCTCGTCTTTCCAGAGTGCTCCCTTCAAATCTTCCCAAGGAGAAGGTTTGCTACCTGAAAGGAGGACTCGTCCTGCTGCTGCTCCCAGCGGGATGCTGTCTCAGTGAGTGGGAGAAGAGCATCCTACCTCAGCCACAAGGTTGTCCTCAGGGCGATTCCACAGTTGCCGTGTTTCCCTTCTCTCTGTGCCGTTTATTCTCTGAAGGATGCTCTGCCCTTCACCCGCCTTCCCCTTGCCAAGCTGCAGTTCTCCTGGCACACACATCTCCCTGCCATGCTGTGCTCAGAGCCTGTCCCCACACCTGGTCTCTTCTGCGTGCAGGTCACCCCTGCAGTCCCTGGGAAATGAAGCATGGCACTGCAGAGAGCTGTGAGCTCTGCAGAGAGGAACGTGCCTTTGCCTCTGCCCTCCCAGGGGAATGCTGAGCCTCTGGGGCCCAGCTCTCATTTACCCACAAGCTGTTTGTCGCTGACATAAATATCCATTTTCAAGCATGAGCAGAAGTGAGAACCAGATCCTGCTGGGGACAGGGACTGTTGGTAGAAAAATGTGGCTTGGAGAGAAAAGAAATAAGGTGCAACATCATTGCTGCAGAGCGATGCTGTGTGCATTTTTTCCCTTTCCACCCAGCTCAGAGGTGTGTAAAAACAAGCACAGGTCAGGCGTCCTGCAGAGTGCTGCAGGAGGAGGTGCTGGGGCCAGGACAGACACGCAGACAGGTGGGTGAGCAGTGCCCAGTGACCCCCCCACGTCCCAGCACCCACAGCTCTGCAGCCCTTGCGGAGCTGTGTGATTTGTGCCTGCACTCACCCTGTGACAAAGGGACCCGTGTGTCCCTGCTCACATTTCTGGGCCATGGGAAGATGTCTTCTGGGCCGTGCTGAATGCAGTGAGTGTGTCCTGCCCTGCCCAGCTGCCAGTCCCAGGCGTGGCAAGAAACAGTGTGAATCAGCAGCGAGCGCAAAGAATTGGTTTTATACCTCATTCCTTCTCTCTGCAGCCTTCTGAGCTGCAAGCCGCGAGCCTGCCCCTTTCCAACCAAGCCCAGGCTCATTCGCCACTCACCTCGGCGAGTGGTGCGGACGGTACGAGGCCGGATACGGCCCCGGCGCTGCCAGGAGATGGAGCCGTTTCACCGCCGTCGGCTCCGTGCTGCCGCCCCGGTTCCTCCGCCCGGCACGGCGCTGCCGCTGTTCTCCCGCTGTTTGACTCCCCGGGACCTCTGCTCTAAGCAAGGGGCAGAGCTGGGTGCTCGCTGAGTGGGGCTGCGTGGGTGCACAGCAAGGGCTGCTCCTGGGGGACACCTCAATGAGCTGCAAGGGACGAACTCTCTTCTTCAGGGGCCCAAAAACTGTCCGCAGGCCTGGAGTAGTCAGCAAACCTCGGCATTAGCATGAAGAACAAGAGCTCTTTGAATGAATTTCAGCATCCCTAGGGGCTTGGGACACCCTCTGTCACCTCCAAGCAGTGCCCACCAGCCCCAGGTCTGCAGGAGCGATGTCCCCCTGCCTCGCAAACTGCTGGCACGTGAGTGGTGCTGACAGCTCCTTAGTGCTGGACAGTGGGTGTCCAACACAGAGTGGCTGCAGGCACTGCCGTTGGAGCACAGCATGCTCCTTGTGCTGCAGGGACATTCCCAGAGCTCCCACTGCTGACCTCCCCACAGAAGCTGTGCTGCTCGGTGTTGCTGGTGCCTGCGCTGCCCCCTGAGCCTGGTGGATGGAGCCGTCCCGTGAGCCAGGAGCAGCTCATGCAGGGCTCTGC